AATGCTTTCATTTGCAGTCTGATTAAAGACTAAAAAAAAAAAAAAACAATATAAAGAATATTTGATATAATATTAATAAAGATTTGTATCTAATACTGCTTAATTATAAAAAAAATATTTTATATTGTTTTTTTTGTTCCAATAAATAAATATTATTTCTTTATTTATAATATTATACTTATAAAGTTATATAGTATATATTAGTAAAAAAAACAATATTTCTTGTATACAAAGTATATATAAAGAATCTCTCCTAAATACATACTCTCTAAATACACACCTCCTTTAAATGCACTCTTTTTTATAGTCTCAAGTTGGGTCAATAATATTAAATGCACCCTCTATATTCTAACAGTGCAATAAATTTTCAAAAACTTTTACATTAAATTAATTCTCTAAATGTACTTTATATATAATTTGCGAAGTTGCCAAAATTAATATGACCGGAATTAACATAAAGCTGGGCAAAATTAAGATGACTGACCGGAATTAATATAAAGCCGGGCAAAATTAAGATGATTGATTGGAATTAACATAAAGCCGGGTAAAATTAAAATAACTGAAAGCCGGGCAAAATTAAGATGATTAGCCGAAATTAATATAAAACTAGGCAAAATTCTGATAACTGACCGGAGTTAATATAATGCCAGGCAAAATTATGATAACTGACCGGAATTAATATAATGCCAAGTAAAATTATAATGGTTAATCGGAATTAATATAAAATTAAATAAATAAAATTTTTTCTTTAAATGCATACTTGCTTTTGGTCCCAAGGGGGTGCATTTAAGGAGAGTTCTTTGTAACAAGTTAAATACTAGCTTGCCTATATATTTATATCTAGTTAATATCAAAAAAAGTTTTTTAAATAATATTATATATATTAAATATAGCTAAATAGTAGCTATATCTACTTATTTAAAATATTTTAATTAGACATATAGAAAATAAAAAAGAAAAAAAAATTGTGTCAAACAAATATAAAATATAATAAAGACAAGTTATAAAAAAAAAGATCCATTGGATATACTATTCTGATAGTTTTATTTATATAAAATATATATTGATATACTTATCAAATAGTCAGAATACTTTTCAAAATATATAAAGTATTGATGATATGGATTTTTAATAATTAATAAGATATAATAGTAGTAGTTTATTGGCAGTAGTGATAATAATGGTTTTGTTATTGTTTTTTTAATAATTGATTGGACAAAAAATTGTATCAAACAAATATAAAATATAATAAAGACAAGTTATAAAAAAAAAAATTCATTGGATATACTATTCTGATAGTTTTATTTATATAAAATATATATTGATATACTTATCAAATAGTCAGAATACTTTTCAAAATATATAATAGTATTGATAATATAGATTTTTAATAATTAATAAGATATAATAGTAGTAGTTTATTGGTAGTAGTGATAATAATGGTTTTGTTATTGTTTTTTTAATAATTGATTGGACAAAAAATTATATTAAACAAGTATAAAATATAATGAAAACTAGTTATAAAATAAAAGAGATCTATTGGATATATTATTTTAATACTTTTACTTATATAAAGTATATGTTGATATATTGAATAATATTAAAAGTTGTATTTTATATATATTGCTGGTTTTTCAAGTCAATAATATAAACAATTTTGATATAAAATTTTATATTTTGTATTAAAAGAAAATCCTTTAATAAAAGAACAAGAATATTTAAAAGAATTTATATAATAACAAAGAATGTTTTAATAAGAATTAAAAATGAAAAAAACTCCAAGAAAAATCTATAAAAAAACAATTGCTACAAACTTTTTCTTATGCAATTTTTTTAAAAAAGTAAGGTCTCCAAACTTGTTTTTTTCTAACCAAAAATCTCATCTTGATATATTAGTATACTTTTTTGAATTTTTTGAAACTTTTGTAATAAAGATTAGAAAGATATAAAGAACTTGTGAATGTTGGAAAGTAAAAAAAATATTTTTTGTTTAATTTTTAAAAATTATTATAAAAGGAAGTTTTTAAGAAAACTTTTATATACAGGAAAAAATTTTAAAAATTTTATATTGTTTTATAAAAAACTTTAAGAAAAATATAAAAAAATAATAAAATATAAGAAAATTTTTACTTCTTTAAGATACTATTATCTAATCTAATACTAATTATATGATTATTTTTTAAATATTGATTTTAATCTATTTTTAGATTTATTTTCTTTTTACAATTTTAAATTAATTGTTAATTATATAACTTGCATTATATTATTTTTATTTATTTATTTATTTTTTACAATAGTAATTTGAGTTTTATAATTTTTTTTAGTATTCAACTAGCTGGGAACTGTCTAATATAGTTTTATTAATATATATATATTTTTTATATATATTACAAAAAGTTGCTACCTATGAATTATTCTATACAGAACTAAAATAATATGTTTTAATTTTTGATATGTTTTTTTTTTCTTAACCAGTTTTGCTATAATTTCTATTTTATAAAATTGTGTTTATTTTTAATTGTTTTGTTAAATAATAATTTGATTTTTAATATGTTTTTAAAAGCATTTTTTTATTAATTTTTATTTCTTTATCTATATTGTTAATTCTGACTATATTATATTTTGTAATAATAATATTATTATTTTGATTGTTTTGTTAAGTTTTATTGTATTACTTCAAATGAAAATAAAGATTGATAATTTTTGGTTTTAATATTTATAATAATTTGTATTGTTTTGTTATTGGTTTTTGATTAAGTTTAAATTTAGTTTTATAATAACAAAAAGTTTATTTTTGTATTTTGTTAAATACTATTAGATATTAGGATTGTTAATTATTATATTGGTTTTTTTTTGCTAATGAAATGTTGGGTTTTTTTTATATATAATTATGTTCTGATAGAGTCAAGATTCTTTTCTGCTTTTTTTTTTATATTTCAAGCTGTATTTTGTCAGTAGAAAGGCTTTATTTAGGGCTTTAGAGCCTTTATTGTAACTTGCTATTTTTTTTATTTATGTTTTGAATTTTCAAAAAATATATTTTTTAAAATTTTGATTAATTATAAGAATAAGTTTTTTTTTGGAATTGTTATATTAGTTTTAATATAATTTTACTTTTTTCAATATTACGTAGGTATTCATGGCTACTTAGTATTACTTAGTAAAATATATTATTTAAAATTTCTTTTCAATATCAATTATATAATTATCATAGGCAAGTTAACATTTAATTCATTGTGTTAATATATGAGATATTATTATAGACTTTGTAATATACAAATAAAATAAAAAACATGTTTATCTATAAAATATATATTATATTTTAGGGTAATTTAATAATAACAAGTCAATATGGAAGTAGTTTAATATGATCTAATATGAACAAATTTTTAGATGCAATATAAGATCTAGAATAATGCAAAGATTTGTGGAGTCTCTTTTAACCAAACTCTTGAAAGCTTCATTATAGTGTTTGTAACCTGAATAAAACATGATAGTTAATTTGCACGCAAAGAGTTTGCATGCAAAAATTGTGAAATATATATTGATAAAAAATAGCTATGATGTCGCAGGTACATAGTGTCTAAAAATAAAAAAATAGTAGATCCAGAGGAGATGACAGATAATGTAATAAATAAAGACAATCATTTGTTTCATACTGGCTATAGCTATAAAGGAGAAAAATTATTACATATGATGGGATATCTACAGTACATTAGCAAGGGCGATGATAAGAAAGTGTTAATAGAGGTACCTCTATCGAAAAAAAATTTGATGATCTATTTTTTGCACTAGTAATTATAGTCGATTAGATATAAAATAATGGTAACTAAAAATTTGTTTAAAATTGAGTATGGATTTCTTTTCATCAGATTGTCAAGCCATTCGTGCTTAAATCAATTTCAGTATACAGCGATATAATAACCCCACTCTAATCAACCTATCCTGATATGTAAAATTTATATATTATAGGGTCTTCTTTCCTCTTTATTCAACCTTGATAATAGTATATATAGCTCTTTTCATATCATCACAGAAGCATCTCATAGTCCACCTAGCCTTAGTATAATCAAAAATTTTTTAGGTCCCATTTTATCTTCGATGGCATACTGACATAATTTAGTCTCTGGCGGATTTTATTGGTGAATATGTTCTACTTCTCAACGTTTGTTTAACACACTTTCCAGAAAACTTAGTACAGCAATTATAGTTTTCTTTTGATCGATACAAAATGAACAATTAAGATAATAGTGATCATTTTTACCTATATGGCTCTAATCACCTCATATTCCTATACAAGTATGTATTTCTTAGCATGTAGGACATCCAGCTTTTAAATCAGTATATTTAAAAACACCAATACCATACATTTGAATTAATATATGGCAAGAAAGGGAATCCTTTCCGTACTGCTTCAAAGATTACACTTTTCTCTTCTGAAAACCTTGTGAAAGGTAATAACCAGCATCCTTTTTGGTCGTGCTAACTTCACTGATTTGTGAGGATTCAGAAGTATCAGGTCTTATTTAAGGATCGAGTCCGTCTCTTCCATGTATGCTTTCTATAATCTAGAACGAATTTTATTTATATTAGAACTTGGTAAGTCAACTAAATTAGCATACCATTTGCAATACTCATCAGTTTTTGTCTTGTCACAGAGTGGTTAGACGAATAATCTTGCAGTAAAATAGTATCAAATGACATGTTATTATTTATATCATACAAGACAATTCAAAAGCACGTAGCTAAAGAATCTTGTCAAAATCCTCAAGAGACCAAAGAAGACAGTTAAAACCAACTATTTAGTTTCATGAATATTCGTTAATGAGATAGGTTTCTTTTTTTTTTTATTAAATATGATTACTTATTGAATTATACCTTGCTCTGTTTTCTGGTTGTATGGTATTTTTACTTCAGAAGAATGGAACTCTGATTTTCGTACCTGAATAATAGGAGATTCCTGATTGAAAATATGCATGCCTTTACTAATTTGGTCTTGATTAATAGAAAATAAGTTTTGATTCCGAAGTTTTGTCTTTAATAATCTGAGTAATCTCTTCCCTTACACTTTGAATCCAGAAATTAATCAATATCCACATTTTCAAGTCTTTAACCTCTGACATAAATCGGAAATTGATACTAGAGTACTCTAATTTGCGAAATTATCTGTTTAGATATATCTTCGGAATTCAATATACAAGCATTGCCGTACCGCTGATATCCAAAGGTTGTTCTTTTGGGACGAATATATTTACCTGTTTGGTTTCCCCGGTATCATCTAATTTGGATGTGAGATCATTCTCATTTTGAGAAACAATAAAATTGCTCTTTTCTTCCGATACGATAGTATACACATTCCGTGAGTCATTTTGTGATAGCATTTGTTCTGACTTCGCAACTTTGAATTCAATCTCAACGTTTTCTTTTGCGATTGTTCTAACTCCTAATTCTAAATTTAAGCTCATTTTCTAATTTTCTTGCTTTAACAAATTTGTTTCGGATTGGGTATTCATTGTTTTATATTGTTATGGGAACAATAGGGATGGGAACGCGATATTGTGGCGCGTCGCGTAACAATAGTGTTGGTGATGGTGGAATGATGTAATAATTGGTAATATCATGTACTGGGTAAACACGCGTCAAGGAGGCATATAAATATGATAGTTTATGTAGCTCTGGGAGAGGTTCAAGATCCGAGATTGAGCGTTTCGCTTTAGAACACTACTTTGTTTTTGCACACTCGCGCTTTATTACATAAATTCTATTTTTATTTGCACAATAAAAGATACTGCACTCCCTAAAGTAGACACTAAGTCCGCGCCACTACATTAAAGTAAACGTCTTTAAGAAGAGTAGAAGCTGAGTTACCTTTTGGCACCGTGTAGAGAGACACTTGTAGTCTTGAGACGCGCCTAGAGAGAGAGCGACGGTCAAGAAGAGATTAACAAGTGCGAAAGTCAGTCAAATCGTAATCCGCCATCGGAGTTAAAGCCTTACCTTATTCAGTGCTAAAATTCAAGCGTTCGGATTATCGTCACGCGAAGAGTGCGCCGTTTTAGCGACAGACTCGCCGGTGACGACAACAATATATAACGCTACTATTGATTAATAAAAAAATCCTTGGATGCTCTTTTCGATAATTAATACAGTATATTAGCAATCAATTTAATCAATTTTTATGCATGATAACGAGGGGTATTTTTATTTAATATCACATTATCAGAGATAAGCAAATCCGAGATATGCAATTTTTCCTCTTTTATCTCTGTAATTGAGATGAAATATGGTGCGATGAAGGTGCATTATATCAAAATAAGCTTTTTTTCATATATAATTATAGGATGAATAACATTATTGCAGTGAATAATTTCTATAAAATAGATAGTAGTAGAGTAAATTTTTGGAATTGTATTGCAAATACAACTAATGAGCGATTTAGAACCAGTTAGATAGGACCAATGTAAAAATAGTTTTCAGAATCTTATTAGAGATTACAACGTAAGTGTTAAACCTTTAAGCCTTGCTATGAAGAATTTTTAATCATGTACGATAGTATTTCTAGCCACATTATAATTGACTCCGTAAATGCATTTTCTTACCTTTTTAGTTATGTGTCAATAGATAGCTGGGAATAAGACTGGAAACAGAACTAGAACCGGTGAGTGAGGTTTTGAAGACTTTAACTCTTATTTTGGGGAAGCCCCGTAAATAAACCTAGTGATGCAAATAGCTAACTTGTCTCGGCTTGCGGCTTAATTTTAGTAAAGTTGAGCCGATCTTTAAGTCAACTATTTCTCAGCCGACATTGTCAGTTGAGCCGATTTGTAGCTCTAATACAAAAAAAATTTACAAATAAACCAAATAAAATTATTAAAGTTTAGATAAATGGCCGAAGTTGTCTCTTTAAATATGCCAATTTTTGGTTTTTGTTATCACTTCAGAGAATAACTTCACTTAAATATTGAAAAAGTTCTTTCATTGTATTATTATTTAAAGGTATTTTTTTGTTATTTTTTTGTGCAATTTGCTCAATGAGATAACTTTGCTTCTATTTCCAGGTTTTTATGATTACATATAGCTATTCTGAAGATCTAGTTTTAAGAAATTATTAAAAAACAATTTATTTTTACTACTTTCATATTATTCAGAATTACTAATTTAAGTTGCGATTCAAAATATCAGCAATAAAAAGTTTTATTAAAATATAAATTGCGTATTTTTGATATTTGAACTGCCGTTTGTTTAAGAAATTTTGGACTTGTTAAGTTATCAATATGTGATGAAATGACTTTAATAATATTATCCATAAACATAATTGCAAGAACTAATATTTATATTGTTGACGTCTTTCCGGCAAGCCCACGCTTCTCGCTTCGTTATGGTTAAGTTTCCCTAACTCTTGAGGCATGTTTCTGATTTGGCCGTTCTTTACTTTAACTTCTCTACCGACTAACCTAGAACCCTTCCAATGCCTATTTTCTTAGGAAAACCTCGGTTCTCTCTTGTAGTCGCGTAGCCTAAGTTACAAGTCTACTTTGGCACACTAAACACAAGGTAAGAGTTTATCCTTTAAACGTTACTTTATTGTTTATTACTTAATGCTTTATTAACTCTAAACTACCAAAAAATCCAAATCCCTCTTCATGCTACTGAATTGCGCATGTATTTATACATGCGCCATTGTTTACATGTTTACATATGATCGCTGTTCTATGCTATTCTAGAAATTCCCACTTTAAATTCTCCCACACTATTTCTCACCATTCCCTCACAACACTAATTACATCATATGACACATATTGCATTATTGTGATCCCCTTTTTTCCCACGACAATATATATGTCTGGAAAGAGAATTTATTGTCTTATAAATGAATGCATAAAATTATTGCGGCTTGCAAATTGGTATCTTATGATATAAGTTCATATTTAAAATTTAATTATTTTATTATAATACTGTATAATAATTTCAATTGTTGTTTATATAGATATACTGTATATGCTAAAAGCATTTAAAATATGTTGTTTCAATAAGCTAAAATGTCTTGCAAATTTTTATACCTTCAATAAATTCATTAATTTCTTGAAAATATTGAGTAATAGAAAGAATAACCCAATAGCTTTGACAAAATTATATTCTTTTTTAAATGATTTTTAATTGGTAATAAATTATAAGTAATAATAGTACTTAAAATATAAATTAAATATTGGCATAGTTCAATATAAAAACTTTATATTGTTATTGGATAAAATCTATAAATATATATTTAGATTTATTTATATTTTTACCAAATTCTAAACAGTACAGATGAGACAATTAACAAATAAACTATAAATAAAATAGATAAGTTTAACTTAATAGATTATGTTTTTGTACTGTGTGTATATTTCAAAAAAATAATAAAGTTAAAGTTAAAATCTAAATTTGTTGAGAAATTGTTTAATATATGTATCATTTATAACATGCATTATGCAAACAAAATAGAACCAGGTTTACCTAAGAATTGGCAAGATGCAGAGTTCAAGAGTAGTTTGCTAATTTGATGAAATTATGTTGACCAAATCAGGAGTCAGATATTTTCTTTATTGATATTTCATGAAATATGATATAAGCTAGATACAATATAGTGATAAAGTAATTGGCCACTCTTAACAATATATAACTTTTTACTTAATAATTGTATTGCTTTAATTATATTATTTTTATTACCAAATATACAATATATCAAATAACTTAATTTTAATATTATAAGTTGAAATATATTGTATAGATATGGGTAATGTTGTAAGGAAAATAGATGGATGTTGTGTGACACAGTAACTGGATGCATTTGTTATATATCGATAATTGGTACCAAAAGCTTATTAAGTTTCAAGTAGTTTGTATAATGTGACAATAAATACTTGTATACATTACTAGTAGTATAAATAGAAGTAGGATAGTTTGGCAATAAACAACCAGTACTCCTGTAATTTATAGCCTCTACCTAATAAAGTAATAAACTGTTATTTGTATCTGTCACTTGTCCCTTATAAAGATTTACTAGCATTTCATAGAAGATCCAAGAAGGCCGAAAAAAGAAACCATGACATGGATCAAATATTGAACTAGTAAGAAAAAAAAAGCAAATTAATGAAAGTATTGGGCCAAATTGATACATATCTTAAGAGAAGAAAAGAACTTATCAGAACCTCCTATCATTACATAAGTGATGGTTCCAGAATAATAACAAACTTGCTGAAAATAATAATAACAGTAATTATTTTTGAAGGCAACAAAAATGCTAGATATAATTTTTTCAGATCCAACTTTTAAATAATACATATATAGTATAAATTTTAGGATTATACCAGAAAATTTCCAGTCCACTTTCGAAAATAATTGCCCATATATAATAATAGCTTTATTAAGAATTCTAATAATTCTTTCTAATTCTGTATTTGATTTTCAGATTTATATTAAATTTAACAAATGAAATATAACTTACTATCATTTTTAATAGTACTTCAAACCTTATATGATTCTATTTGATTCCAATTTTCAGAACTATAAGCTTTACCAACATATAAATATATACTGTATATATAAATATATATTAATATAAGAATTCTATATGTTTAGCATAATTAAAATTTTATTAACAATTTCTTCAATTAAGTTTAATGTTTTTTTATATTATATTAAAGCATATATATAATTGATTTAATAATTTCACATGAAAATAAATTAATATTAACATTTATATATTGCAATACTATAGTTAATGACTTGCTTTTAACAATCAAACAGACAAAGTTCATAAATAACCCACTTGGTTATTAATATATTCAATTTTGCATTTTGGTCTAATAATAACTTTATCTTGAAATTATTATATGCTTATAATGAGAATTATTTGTTTCTATTTCAATCTGGATATCAATAATAAAATTATTGCCTTTTATATCAGGAAATGTCTTTATAACATAAAATTTTTTTATTATAATTATTTAACTATATTTTTTTAAATAGTACTTGAAATTTTATATAAAAACTTTAAAAGTTTTTTGTATTTTTTTTAAAATTAATTAACAATATTTTAAGTAGAACTTGTACTATTAAAAGTATAATGTCTTGACAAAAATTTTGAAAAGAAATAAGAAGTTATTAAGTTTTATTAAATAATATTTTTTTTTAAACAAAGGTATAAAAAAAATAATTTGTTTTGCTTATAAAAATAAATTAACAATCATTAAACTTATAATTCTGGTAATACTTTATATATAGTATATTAATTTTAAATTTATAAAATAATATAATATATTATGCAAAAATTCTAAATTATATATATTAGATTTGAATTTAAAATACAGAGAATGGACAAAAGTTTATGGACAACTTTTTTTTTTTAAATAAAATTCAATTAAACTTTATTAATAAAAAATATACTCAATATATACAGTATGGTGCAAAAAATTTTAAAATA